CCTGCGGCGCCGCTTCGTCCTCGCTGCCGTCGGCTATGTTGGCACCAAGCATATTCCGTTGCGCAGCCAATTCGTTCGAGGACAGCTCCACGATTTTAACTTGGACTTCATCATCTTCGTAGGCGGCTTGTTGGACGCCTTCAATCTTATCCTCGTCGGTGAGCTCGCGTAGTGGTTCGAAGGACTTCTTCATATGCTTGAAGCCATCTTTTACCTCCTGCCGGATGCGTTTGTGCTCCTCCTTGAGATTGCGCTCCAATTCCGTCTTGGCGCGTGTGCGGCGCTCGTTTTTTCGCTTTCGAAAGCCAGTCAAAAAGTCTCTGTTTGGATGGCGCTGACATATTGAGGCTGTTTTCTGTTATATATTCAGTTACTCACTTGCGTTTTTGCGGATCAAATACAATCTCCACTTTCTTCTTTGTACGAGCCATTTTAATTTGTAATTAGCCAAAAAACTCGTTGTTTACGTTTTGCCAAGCCACATGTTGGTTACAGAACGCAATGTTTAGCTCCTGTTAACGCTGTGTTATATACCTGTAAACGAAATTTTGACGCGCGGTGAATCTGTTCACAGACCAATTTATGGCGTATATGTTAAGGCAATGTTAATCCACTGTAAGGAAATTGGGAGTTTAAAAAGTATTGAAAAATGTGTGCATTTGTGGTCTATATTCAATGTACGAACATGATAGTTCGTTTTCGTTTAATATTTATTGCAATTGAATTGGAAAATGTTATGATAGATTTCTTTAAATTTTGCGGCTTTTACAAATCGCATTTCGTATATATATCACATGCTTATATGTATTATCTTTTACAATTCGGATTACTTTATAAAAACAAAGTTCTTTTAACAACAAGTTCTTCTAAAGAAGCGTTAACATTACACAATCGTTGGGTCTAATAACTAGGGATATTCATGACTTATAACGATATATTCTTGCCATATGTATGGGTTTCTTTTTGTAACTGATATATGTATAGGTTTCGTATCCATAAATTCTTTCCGTTCCAATATCTGGAGTTCACTCCTCATCGCTGTCTAATGTAAATAATCTAATACGCCGAAACGAAGACGTTTCCAATACTTTTGGCGTGGAAGCATTGGCACGCGAGCAGCTCGCGTCCTTGGCCAACAAATTACTGTTCTCCGCATGGGATTTACGTGCCGAGCTGGAACTAAAGGAATTATGTTAAAGTCAGTTATCCTTGTGAGTCTGTAACTACTTACCCTCTTTGACGATTGGACTTATTGTGATTGTGATTAAGGGGCGTTGAATTGACCAAATTCTCTCGTCCGCAGGCTGTTGGTGTGCCCTGCTGCGACAATTCCAGCGTATCCATGGCTAACAAAAAATCGGATACATAACAATCTCGATTCCCTATGGGCGTTGAGCCCACCAGTTGAAACTCTACACGAGGCACACCAGCAATGGATGCTGATGGCGATGCCGGCGCTGCTGCTACTGTAGTTCCATTGTACGTAGCGGACTTCGGGGCCGTCAGCGGCTTGTAAAAGTGCAAGATTTCCAATATGTAGAACAGGCAACGGTACGCTGTAGTCTTCAGACTGCACATTTTTATCCAGAGCGCACGTCGCGAGCGTCGAAAGCACTTGGACTAGAAGAATACAATGAATAAGCGATTGGAATACTACTTGCGAGAAATAACCTCCTACCAGCAGCTTTAATGTGACCATCGATTTCTCCTCCTTTTGCATTCTCTGGAGCCGAGGATGCGATAGCAGCTGCTCTGTCGTCGGCCGTAGTCGCGGTTCTGGCGACATCATGCATTTGATGACCTGCTGCAGCTCCACTGAGATTGCTGCAAGCACAAAGAGATCGTTAAAATAGTTGTTGGATTATTTGTTATTTACTCTGATTGCTCACTGTTTATAAACTCCTCGGGCAGTTTGCCCTGGCGCAGCTCATGCCAGAGCGGTCCATTCGAGGGCAAGTCCATGTAGCAGGCCAGCTCTAGCATTGCGATGCCCAGGCTAAATATGTCTGCGGCCTTGGAGAATTGGCCTTGTAGTATTTCGGGCGCCATATAACGCGAATCGCCCTCTGTTGCCTGATGGTTATTCGCTTTGTCCACATCGATGACCAGCCCAAAGTCCGCCAGTTTGCATGTGTCGTCGTCGTCGATGAGTACGTTATCTAGCTTAATGTCCAAGTGTATGAGATTCCGATCGTGCAGCGACTTAAGGCCACGCAATAAATCCAGCAATATATGCCAGATGCGCTCCTCTGGAATGTGTCGGCAACGATACAAATACTGCTCTAGGCTTTCGCGGCACAGCTCCATTTGCATAAACAACCGATCGTACTGCTCCCAAGCACGTATGAACCGAATGCAATTCTCATGGCCGGAGAACTCCTCGTAGCGACGCACCTCCTCTAGTCGCTCAGCCCGATACTGTTCGCCACGAAACAATTGCTTGGAGATTTTTACCGCATACAGCCGGCTGTCGGAACGATCTCGCACCTGGAACACCTCACCAAAGGAGCCCTCGCCCAGCTTTGCCAAACGCTCGAAACACTCCTCGAAATGGCTCTTATTGCAGGACATGGACGACTGTGAGGCTGCCGCAGCATTTGGTGACACTGGCAATGTGCCGGCATCGGAGCACTCGGATCCGCCGCGAAACGAGATCGCGTGCGCAATTTGTGAGTTGTTGGCGCTGCAGGATCCCGACGACTGACTGCGATTCAAATTGTTATTTTCCACGGCTACGTAACGCGTTTTATATTTGGGCGGTCGAAATCGGTTACTGTCCAAATGCCCGTTGAACTAAGAAACAAAGAGATTGTTAGGCGAAGATGCTGGAATCGTCGTATGGCCACGAGGGACCACTGTGGATCTGTGGCTGTTGCTGTTTACCCACCTGTTTGTGCCGGTGCTTATCATCGCTCATCTCCGGCAGCGGCAAACGATGCTTGTCCATGTTGTTTCTCTGTTTTATAGAATTGTTTTCCTTATATTGTAGTTGAACTATTCGGGAACTGGGTTGTGAACAAGTTCATTTGCACGAGGAGCTCAAGTTCAGTTTATACGTGTCAAAATATTTGCGTAATGAAGAAGTGCATGGCAGAAAATGTGAAACGAATTTAATTAACTACTGGGAGGCTAGTGAAAGAAACGGCTAGTAACATAAATTAATATCTATGAAGCGTATAAATACCGCCCAATGTTGATTGTTTATTTAGCTAGCATTTTATTATCTGGAATAGAGAATTGAACCAAATTGGCGTTGCCATATGACTTTGTTGTCATTTCGATTGTTAATGGCGGTGGGTCGATTGGCGGCAGATGTAATTCGATTTTGCCGATGGTATATATTATCGTATCGCTTAGTCCATAAAAACAACGCGTAGTTATAGTCTTCAAAACAAATGCAGCAACATGCTCGGCAGAAGTATTGATAGGTAAATATTCGAGACCTATACGAACACAGGTAAAAGCAGCAAAGAGCGCTTCCAAAATATGGTTGTAAACGCAATAAAGTTATGCAATTTGCGATGCGGTTTCGTTTTGTGTATAAGTATGTAATTGTATTGCATACATATGTATGCACATTTGCGTACGAGTGTGACCGCATGCAAGAAAAAAGAAATACCAAGTGAACACAATCGAATGCCGTTACCATTTTACAATTTGAATATTGCTTGAACTTGAAATAAGTGAATAAGATATGGACAGTAAATATATAAATGTTTGTTTGAATATGTGTTTGTACAGTACAGGCAAGCAGCCAACATTTCATGTGATACGTGAAGTCTACGACAGTTCAAATGCGCACGAACGCTTTGAAGCGGAGCTGGACAAAGCGCTTGAGGCCAAGGTAGACTTCATTATCATTGAGCCGCCGCGTTTGGGCGATGAAACCGGTAAGTCGATAATAGATTATTTCCCGAATCCTTAAATAATGCTGACAATGATAATGTCTCTTCTAGGTCGCTGGATATGGGTGGGCAATTGCCTACACAAAACGGCAGTGGCCACCGGAGTTGCGTCCCTTATATCTAGTTTGTTGTGGTACGACCGTCCTGTGATTGCGGCTCCCGTTTGTGCCATGTCACTATTCTGTACTGGATTGTACACAGTGTCATGGAACTACGATCCTTGCTGCCAGTATCAGGTATGTGGATTGATGTTCTGGTCCTTTGAATGGATATAGCTTGAATGCTATTGTGTATTGCAGGTGGAGGAAAACAATGAAGTCGCATTAAACAAGCTGCCACTAACAGATGTATCCTCGCCTGTGATCCTGGGCTATGCGCCCAATACTCAAACCAAATACTTGCATCGCGGCATCACATTCTTATCGGCAGCGCTGTGTGCCTGGCAGATTTGGCGATCTTACAAGTAGACGACACTATCTGGGATCAGATAATCAGCCAGCCACTGGCTGCAGTCTGCAGCAATACGGCGCGTAATCTTGAACTTGACTCAAGTATTTGGTTTATAAGTTTAGTTAAACGCCATTGCGTATGCATTTCTTTTAGAATTTCGAACGTTTCGTTTTTCCTAGTTAAATTTTAAAGTGGTTCAAAGTCCGAAATGTCTATGATGAATGTTTCTATAGCTGTTTGTTTTTGGCAGCTATCAACTCGCGCTTGCATTATTTTGAATGACATATTTATGTTTTAGTATTTAATGGCCAAGAAGTCTTTTTAGTTATTGTTCAAGAGATGCACTGTACAAATAATTAAGCAAAATTACTTTTTGTGTGTGTATAATTAATAATAATAGTGATTGTTATTAGTATAGAAATTAAAGACAGTGCAGAGAAGTAAATAAAGTCGAAACCAATATGTTATTTAAATATAATACAATACAAATAAAACAATTGTGCCGCGCTTGCTGTGAATGATGAAAGCATATGTAATCTAACAACCACACACAAAGAGTGTGTGTGCATTTGTACACACACACACGCCCACACTTATGTACATCCAAAACAGCTGTAATGAGACGTCATGCGGGCTGCGGCTGCGGCTGTGGCTGCAGTCTGTGAGCTCAGTAGGCTTGTCGAAGCCATCGCAGCGGCTTTGTGCAATCCCGATCGTTTAACCGCGTGCATCAGTCGCGATCAACCGACGAATTCCAGTGCGAACCAGCGCAAGTAAAGGCTGCGGCGGCCGCTGCTGCGCCAGTTGTAGTTGTTATTGTGTGGAGTGGAGTGGAGTGCGGGATTACGTTTGAAAACATGGAGATCACTGCGAATGTGGGTAGGTGATGGCCAAATGTAAACAGCCTTAAATGGCTGCTGTGCTGCTTTGATAAGCTAGCCCGCCAAGTAGGAAGATCCGTACAGTTGACTCTGTAGTTGCCAGCAGCTAATTGTGCCGCTTGGCTTATCGTTTGGGCAATTTTTATCACAAGTATTTGTTGTTTGCTTAATATTTTGCAATCATGCAGCACATGCGACTGTCGGCGGCGACCTCAACTCCAGCTGCATAACCACATCCTCACGGGCCAGCAGCTATCTCAGCCTCGAGACTTCTGTGGAGCCCAACGAACATACTCCACTGCTGGCCGCCAGCGGCACTGCATCAACTGATTCAGCTCGGGCAAGTTCGACGACGGCTGTGGGTACAGCGATCTACACAAAAGAATGCTTTAATTGGCGCATCATTGGACTGCTCTTGATGTTCATCAACGGCCTGGTGCTGGCCACATATTTGCTCTGGCGACAAAGTAAGTAATCCCACTGGAAGTGAGACTGTGCATGGTCCCATTATGTGCATAAGATCTGTTTATTCAATTTGTTTTGTGCCCGTAAATAAACATGAGTATGAATATGTTAATTTGTAGAACTTGCTGCCGTTTCTATATAAATGAGTTTATGATGTGGTCAGCTTTAATTATTACGTCATAAAACATAATTATTATTATTAGCTTTAAAGGGTGTTTAGGGCTTTGCCATTTATAGATTGTTGATTTAAATACTGGCGTGAGGTTTTTTATATCAGGGCTGCAAACACAAAGTCGCGGGTTCGGTTCACGGTTCGAAACCAACTCCTTGACTTCGTTCGACCCGCCGAATATTTTTGAAAATTTTAATGAAACAAATCAATTTTTAATTTATGATTGCCCGTTCTACTGAAAATATTGCAACACATAGATATTTTCAAATAGAAGCTGCGGTCTACATTTGTTTACATCTACCAGATATGGTAAGATAAATCCAATTTGTGGAGCCCTAGTTATTTATGGTTTGGGACTAGTTCTCCCTTAAAAGATTTTTTCTAATTGGGCTCGGTTAAAAGTTCGTTTTATGTTAAAAAAAGAATAGAATAGGCTCGAACTGGCTCGGTTCAACTCCAGCTTGCAGCCTTGGTTTTTTTTTTTACCGTAACAAGTAGTAATAATTTCTAGTTATGATTAACAAATGTGGTCATTGCAAATCAAAGTTGCTTTTAAATAGCTTTTATACCCCTTTATATCCTACAATCTTTGAGCTACATTGGGTTACTGAACACCTTGTTTAAAAAGTAAGCTTAGCGTAATCGCCATTTGAGATTATCAGCAAAGACACTATATGTACATAAATATCAAGATGAGTAACGCTCATAAATTTGAATGCGACGCAAAAATTCCTAGCCTGGCTTTTCATTTGGCTTTTCCCCCTTCAAACGACACGCCAGCCGACTGGCTCTTCGCTTTATTGTCTTTGGTATTAGTCCAGTCCAGTTCCAGTCTAAAAATCACCAAGCAAAACTTTCATCTACCTGCAGCATCAGCTCCGCCGGCTAATGGCTACAAACTGCGACTCATCCGACATGATATATGGAGTGAGGCCCATTTGCACGGTCAGGCGCTGCTGGTGGCGGGAAAAGTTGTAAATGTTTTCATCACACACACAGCCAGCGAGGAGTGCAGCGAGAACTGTGCGAATCTGCTGCAGAGCTTGCAGGTGAGTCACACAGCCACAAAGCATCGGAGTCATATGATTGCTAATTATTCAATAAATTCCGCGCAGCACAACCATTTGGGGGAGCTTCCGTATAACTTTCTCATGGCCGGCGACTGTGAGACATACGAGGCGCGCGGCTGGCAGTACGCGAGCAGCTTTGAGTCGCTGCCCCAGGCCAGCTCCTTGGTGTTCGCCTTTGTGGGCGACTTTAGCCAGTGGCTGCCGAGTCTGTGCCAGCTGCAGATGGCTAAAGCGCTGCTCTGGGAATCGCAGAGGCGCCTCAAATTGCAGCCGCTCTATCAGCTCTATGGGCTGCGCAATGTGAGTCGCAGTGAACGGGATGCGGATGCACTGGTTGGTCAGCTGCAGCTCTGGCCGCTCTATGCTGGCCAGCGGCTAGTGAAGTAAAAGTCAGGCTTCCAAGTTGTTCCTCTCGTTTTTATTGTACTCCACAAAACAAATAGTTTACAAAAGAAGCGCAGGATTAATAAAGCGGGGTGCCACCGAAAAGCGAAGCGAGTGCCCGCTCCCAGCCCAGCGGAACAGTTGCTGCCAGCCGGGTAGATGAGCCAACAAAGCGTAGCGCTGCGTGTGCCATTACAAATTAAGGATAATGCCTATTACTAAAGCTTAAATGTCTACAATGGAAGCTGTGCATCGGACGCATCCTAGTCGAACTCCAGTTTCCGAAAACTGCCCTCAATGGACTCGATCTGTGAAACGAAATTGGTGCCCGTGCCGTTCTTCTCGGAATTGTAGCTACTGCGTCGCTGTATGCCGCGATCTGAGAGCAGCGTGCTCTGATCCAGTGCCAGGACCAGGTCCCGTTTAGCCGCCAGCTCCTGTTTCCACAGCTCAATCATCTCACGCATGGGCATGGTGCCGCCCATCTCTTGAGGCAGGCAGTCGGCATCGACGCTCTTCATCAGCTCCTTCTCGCTGCCGTAGATGTTGAGACGGTTTTTCATCTTGGAGCTGACGCGATTCTTTACAAAGTCAATCAGCCATTTCAACGTGGAGGGCACATTGATCAGATGAATCTCCTTGTGACGCATGGGCAGCGATTGTTCGCCCCATTTGAAGACGCGCGCAAATTCCGTGGGATTCCAGTTGGTGACATGCGATGTGGTGACGCCCGCGAAGTCGCCCACATGACTCAGACCCGTTATTTGCGTCTCCTGATCCTCCATCAGGCACTCGTAGGTGAGAAAGTGAGCCTTCGCCTGGTCGCTGCTTGTGTGAAACTTTGGATTCAAACCTTTGGCATTGATGATCACCAACCGCCGGCCGTGTTTGTCCCTCTTCGGCACCGCGAATATGTATCCCTGTTCGATGAGGTCGCCCAGTCGCGGTTCCAGAAAGTCCAGCTTGGTGGCCATGTGCGGGAAGGTGCGTCTAATGTTCAGATACTTGAGCAGCGTCTGCTCTGCCATCGGCACACTGAACTTTTTGGCGCGCAGAAAACGCAACAGGAAGGTATCGTCGCAGCGCACATTCTGCAGATCCTCGTTCTTCAGCACCCAGTTGCGCAGCTGTTCCAGGCTCTGCTCCCGCGTGCACTTGTCTTCGCGCAGCTCCCGCTTGGCTATCTTCAGCAACGATTCGGACAGCATCGAGACGTCGCTATCCTCCAGTACCTTGGTCTCCTTCATTGTTATCACTGTTCCTAAGCTGCGGCTGCTGCTGTTCAATGCGGCGTATGCGTAATATCAGCCGGCTGTTCAAAGAGAAGGCAACGAGGAACATAAGTAAGCATATTTTGCATATTTAAAACGTTAACTATTGGAAATAATATTGGCTATTTAAATTTAATAATACGCTCGATTCACAAACTTCGTGCTTGGACGCTTGAATCTTGTTTTAAATAACGATCTTTTTGATTTCTGTTTAATTTGTGACACAATTTAATGATTAAATCACACACTCGTTTTAATTGCTCCACTTTCGATATTCTGCCAAACAACGCGCCAGCTAATCAACTCTAAACAATGTTTAATCTTAAACAATCCAAGCCTTCAAAATTGGTTCAAGGCCTCGGCTCAAGGTTTCATTTGCAAATATTTGCTAATTATGCCTAAAACAAACAACAAAAAGAAATCAAAAAGAAAAAAAAAAAATAGAAACAATCGCAGCGTCTGATTCAGCGGATGTTCAATGTATCTTTACATATGTAAATTATTTTCTTGCTGGACAATAAATTCAAATTATGATCGCACAATAGATGCGCAAAAAACCGAAAACAAAACTGCAAATTGGTTCAAGTTCAAAAACCGTAGACTGAAAGCGGGTCAAGCTATAGATATACTTATATTCATATATTTGTTTTTATAGCAAATATATATATATGTAGGTGTGCATTTCGGACTCAAGTCGTTGTCCCCGCCATAAGAAAGAGTTCAGCTGTTTCTCCAGCCTCAGCTTCAGCTTCAGCTTTAGCTTTATTTTATGTATTGCATAATTTGTTTTCCGGCGGCGGCATTTAAAATTTCACAAATGTATCTATAGAAAGCAAGACAGAGAGCTCGTCGGCTCAGCCTCCGCTTCGGGTTGTCAGATACTCCTTCAGATACTTGGCTTATATTGCGCTTTAGTACTCTAACAGTGGATATTGTGATTCTGTTGCGAATTATGTCAATATAAGGTGCAAATCATAACTATACTCTTCTCCAGAATCATGTCTGTCTGTCTGTTTCAATTATATAGCTTCCATAGGAAAATTGAGTATTTTTTAGATATCTTTACTATATATTTGCAAAATCATTTCATACATTTGCAGTACTCAAACAAGGGTATTTAATCTTCGGCGTGTCTAAAATGGCTGATTCACAAAAACATCGAGCTATTTGCTTGTAAACTTTATATTTGTTTGCAAATCAATTGGCACGCAGAACAGGGTATTTCATCTTCGGCGTGTCGAAGGTAGCTGCTTTTTTTGATTGTTTTACTACCTAAAAACATCGAGTTATTCGCTTGTAAACTTTATGTTTGTTTGTTTGCATTTCGATTTCGGTTCGTCATGATACATATGCAAATCAATTGGTTCGCCTCGGTTATGTCCAATGCAAACACCGTTCCATTTAATTGATTTATGTCCATTTGTTGTGGCATTTAAATTTTATGTTTACAGAGGCGCAAGTGCATTTTCAAATATTAAACAATAATTTGCATTTTCTTCAGTTTTTCTTTTAGCTGTAAATGCGATTTCGAAAATGTGATTAAGCAATGGCGCCTACAAATACACCGTCCGCTTCCCTGCCGCCATCCAAATCCCCCCCGCGCACGTTCCCAGCTGTGTGCCTGGCCACTGTTTGGGGTTTCAACATGTTTATTAGGCGCTCGGGGCTTGTCAAGTGGCTGTGGCTCTGACTGTGGCTCTGACTGTGGCTCTGACTGTGGTTGCGTGGCTTTGTGTGCCTAGCTGGCCAGGCTAATAATGCAACAAAGCCGCCAGACGAAACGTCAGTTGCAGTTTGCCAATTTCGAAAATATTACTTTTCAATTTGTTGCATTGCAATTTCGCAATATTTTTCACAAATATTAGTTAGCTCTTTTTTAAGCACAATACATTTTGAAAGCTTCGCTGCTCTTCTTAAAAATGTACAACACACACACACTTACACAATCGAGCTGCAGGACTTTAACGCTTGCTTTTGTCTATATAGTTAACCTATATAAAAAATATGTATATCCAGGCGATGTCTGCCGCGTCGCGTACCGAGACAACTGAGCAGCGCGAGCTCTGAACAACGAATGGCGCAAAGCAACAAAAAGTGGCTTGAAAAAATGTTAAAGAAATTAACTGGATTATATAATGACCACACACCGACTACACACTAAGAGCAGCAGCCGCAGCAGCAGCAGCAGCAGCAGAGACGGCCCAAAACCGATGCCGAATGCAATCTGATCGTTTTCGGGCTGCTGCTGTTTCTGCTGCTGTTGTTGTTGTTGCTGTTGCTGCTGCTGCTGCTGTGCTGCATGGAAGCGAACAAGTTTTTCGAAAACCGAAAGTGCGCTGTGCACAGGCGAACCTTTTCGCCAGGCTGTTAGCCTGCGCCAAGTCCAAGTCGACAGCCATCAAAGGTAGCGGCATAAACAGTTGTTGCTGCTGTTGTTGTTGCTGTTGTTGCTGCTGTTGTTGTTGCTGTTATTGCTGCTGCTGTTGTTGTTGCTGTTTTTGCTGCTGCTGTTGTTGTTGCTGTTGAGTAATCGCAGTCAGTTGGTCAGTCGGTGAGCTACTCAGTCGGCTGTTTAGTTTGCGCGTTGTCTTAAATCGAGCTGTTTTATTTTTTTTGCTTTTTGTTTTTGTTTTTGTTTTTCAGCGGTTTTTGCCTTTTCATGCCTTTTTCACTTTGTTTATTTCACTGATCTCTGTCGAGCTGTGAACATTAATGATTAGGCTCATTGAAATCAAAGACGTCGAAACTCATTGCTCATGGCAAAAATTTGCATTTTCATGGCGCCCATTTCCAGTTGCTGCCACTCAAGCAACAACAACACCTTGCAGTCCAGTTCGAGCCTTGAAAATGCAATCACCCCATGCCCCCGCCCTCGTCTCTGCTGCTGCTGCTGCTGCTGCTGCTGTTGATAGATGTTAAAGCTCTAATGATCATGTTGATGCACAAGTTGGTTGTTTAGTTTGAGAGCTCGGTATACGTCATCCGCTTGGAAACACGTTTGCTTTTGCTCTCCGATATTTTTGGACGATATTTGAAATTGGATTTTGTTGGCTTTCTGTTGTTAGACAATTGCATTAACTGGGCGTTAAGGTCGTTTCTATTTTGAAAAAAAAAAAAAAATAGAGGAAAAGCGTTGACTATTTGATTGTCATATAAGCTTTTGTTTCAGGGCCAGTCGAAATGCGGGCCCCAGCCAGCGCGTGTTACCCAATATTGTGTATTTAGCATAGGGCGTAGGTAGGCAGGTCTGTAGAAATGGTTTTTAAGAGCCCTTCAACGTTTATATCCAAAGTCTAATCAAATTAACATTAACATTCGCTGGACGCATGCTTGGAAAAACTGGCATCGAGGCGTACACATTTTGTTGCAGTGTAATATGATTTGTGTGTTAATTATTCGAAATATGATCAGTGATCTTTCAATGTCAATTCATGAACTTTGGTAATTATGACTAAATTTGAAAATCATGCATTTCTTAAGATCACGAATGCGCTTAGCAACTAGTTTGAGCTGTGGAGACGACATCCAAACAAAAAGTCTGCTTGTATTCAGATATGGGTTTACTTTAGTTGATTTTCACCAACATTTTGGCATTCCGACTCTTCAGTTTGTTAGTTGTTTCCCCATTTTACAAAAGCCTTCGACCTTCAAGGCAGGTTCGGACCAGCTGATCGACCTACTCAACGACTTATAAACATTTTTTAACACACTTGTCCGCCTTGTGTAATGTGCGCACTCATCATTGGCACGTTTTTTTTTTGTATTTTTGTATATCTGTTTTTTTGTTTAAATATGTATATGTATATATTTTACTCTATTCATATTTTCGCGCTCATAACGAGTTTACCACAGAAACTCCGTCCAATTGCTCCACATGGCCATAAAGATGCCGCCGTCAAATGTGAACAATAATAATTTTTAATAAACACATTACAGCGCACTAAGAAACTGAAACTGAAGCTGAATTTGAAAGAGGGCCAACTCTGGGATAGACAATAACAATTCGCAACGACTTCGTTTGGGTTTCGTTTGCGGGGAAACCTTTTTCGAAATTCCATCACATGGCAATAGTTTTTTGTTTTTTTTTTTTTTGCTGTCGTGATTGCGGTCTTAACAATAATTAACGGCAAAGAAATTCAGCTCTGCAGCTTAATTATGTACCCAAAATTGGCTTCATTATAAGAGTTATTTCAATGTATTGAAGCTTCTCTTTTTTCTAATTTATTTCGGCTTCTAGCTACACACGTGCCTTCAAATGGCAGCTATAAAGACGATTGGTTCCAAGATCAAATTGCTAAAAAAAAAAACCCCCAGCCCTTGAGAAGACAAATTTGGTCAAAACATTTTGCATAGGTTTTTGAGCATGTTCGATCTAAGAATATAATATATCTTCTTTCGGAAATAGATGTTGGCGTGTGTCAGCCAAAGCAACAACAACAACAAATCTAACAAGCTATTTAATTTATATTTACTTAAGACGCAAAATGTTCACACAATACAGTTAGTGTAGTGTACACTGCCGAACATATTTTGTTTACTTGTTGACATTAGCACTTGCCACTGCACTGTTTAAGTGTTATTGTTGAAATTCAACAACGGTCGTTATAATTGCACAAGATAATACCAGAGCTCTCGAGTTTCTTTGTTAAACCTGCAAAACTGTAATTGACTTGTTCGCTAAAGTTAAAACTTACCTAATTGATTTTGATTCGGCTGCCACCAAACGTTGGCTCGGCAAAAGAGAGAAGGAGAAACCGCGAAACCACTTTAAAACGTCCGCACTTCACAAAGGTTCGACACAGAATCGAACAAAAGCGAACAAATTGCCGACTTAAAGTACAATAAACCAGGTTTGTAAACGCTCGCGTGGTCAGAGTCACAGTTGTCTGCTTTATGTCTATTATAGATTAAGAAAGCATAAATATAAAGCACGGTCATTTAATCATAAAGGAAAAACCATTGCAATGGTCTTTTGGTTTCAAACGTGTCACATGCGATTAATAACCCGCAATGCTTTAATTCAAAATGGCGCCAAATCCAGCGATAATAATCGAAACCATAAGTTGTGAATTGGACTATCGAAATCAAATGGGAGACTCGTGCCTGCAAAGCACGCATGTGCGCATTTAGAGTCATTTTACAGCACTGTTTTTTTTTTTAAATAAACTGTGGACTAGTTTTTGTTGTCTGAGTTAATGGGTTTTTTCTGTATTTTCTTATAATGTAATTTGTACAATATAAGTACGTTAAAGCTGCT